CCACTTTCACATCTCTATAGGAAGATAGACATTGTTGCATGCTTCTCTGAGAGAAGATAGGTGCTGATTCTAGTACTCACACGCAGGATCTAGGTTGCATTTGATGATAAGGCCATGCCATATTTTAATCTGTTCCTGCTCATCTAAGCCCCTTTGGCCCAGTTAGACTCTTCACATGCAAATGACCTGAGGAAATATGGCATGACAAAAAATAAAAATTGAAAAGAAATATAAGGAGAGAACATGTCACTGGCAAGTGCCACTAGAACATGGGATCTTCACTATTGCCATGACAGGAGGAGACTAGTTGTAGGTAAGAGTTTAGGATATTACCTCTCTTTGTACTTTCTATGCTTCATCTGGTGTTTACACTGATCAGCCCTTTAAGAAATCTCAAGATCAACTTTCCGTAACCAGTCAGCCACACTTGGGTTACTGGATCAGTTATCAACATAGGACTGTTGGCCCCACTATATATTTAGCAGCAACACATTTACAGGATCTTTGCTGAATTAAACTTGATTAGCTTTCCTCATCATATTTCACCAGTTCCCTTAAATAAGCCTTAACTTTTAATTAACAATTATTTTATTGCAATACATCTCATTTATCAGTCAAACATTCCTCTCTATCCTAAGCACATCCACTTATTTTTCAGACTCATCTGCTTTTTCATACATTTCAAACCTTGTGATGATTTAAGGATGGATTACTCAGACTTTTGTCACCTTGAATTTTGCTGCCAAATCTTTAGTTACCATATCTTAAATTCTTATGTTTGTATACGATAACACCTACATTTTCTCAGGGTAAACTAAAAGTCTACTGCCAAAATAATGCTGTTGGTAAACGTTCCTACACAGAAATTGTCTACATTGCTGAAAAAAACCCAAACTACCAACACCAAAATTGGACGCCTCGCAAAACTGATACTATTAAGAAAGAGAAATTAATAAAGCTGTATAGAGAAGCATCCGCCGTAGTTATACAAAAAGGTATGAATATGAGTTTCTTGCTCCTGTGTTTATAAAAGCAAATTTAAAAAACCAACCAAACAAACAACAAATCCCCCCACTGCTGACCAGTTATCCAAATGGCTTTAAACTCTTTCTCTAGAATCCAGTTCAATAATTATGTGCTTTTCCTTTTTCATTATCCAGATTATTAAAAACACATGAGAATTCTCACCTTTGAAAAATATTCCTCCTGCCTTGTTATTTTAGTTACGGTATAAATTTGATAACACAGGTCTCAAGAGACACAGAGGAGAGGCCTGACCTAATTCCACAGATTTCAGATTTTTATTTTGTGAAATGAATACTATTTATCTGCCTGAAAACAAAACCTGAAGAACAGAACTATGCACTTGAGAGATCAGTATGGATATCAAAGCAATTTGATTAGATCCCATATGAATTAGATTGCTGTATCATATTTTGGAAATTGCTTTATGGTATTTTGGAAAAATTTTGTTATATTTGTTTGAGTTCAGGACTAGAGGTCAGGAACTCCAGATTTTAATAACAGCTGACAGAGACTATGCAGACAAAACTGCCCCAAATAATTTTCCTCAAGTATGTCACCTGGAAAATGAGGACAATGGTGTAGATTCTTTCACGTGAGAATAAAGGAGGAGAATTACAGCTTTGGTTAAGACATCTTGGAGAATAAGCTGAAATACACTAAACTGTTAGCAGACTTATATAGTTGTTCGCCCTTCTGGCCTAAAACTATCAAAGAAAACTCAAAATCTTAAATATAACTCTTACAGGTAAAACCAAGTTAAACAACAGAGTTAAATAAGAAAAAGTCAAATTGGACAGTGTTTATTTAGGGTAAACTTTGAATATTTTAATTACATATGTTTATTTCAGAAAAAAGATTGAGGACAAAAAAATTTAGAAAGATTACTTATTTTAAGAAAAGCATACCAGCATAGTATCATTGGGATTTTTTACATAATCAAATGATGTACCCTGTAAAATTGCACCTCTCCAGTTTACTCTATTACCATATTGTATGGTAATATTGGGCAATCATATGCAGAGAAGGGTTGATGCTTTCTCCAATTCAAATTTTGCTTAAGTTTAGTTAAAAAGTGATTTCAAGGAATTATGATAATAAGAGTTATTCTAGTAATGGAAATTTACTAACCAGAAGGTATAAATTAAATTACACCTATTACAATAGAGATACTTCAGAAACAGACCCTCAAAAAAAAAAAAAAAAAAAAAAAAAAAAAAAAAAAAAAAAAAAAAAAAAAAAAAAAAAAAAAAAAAAAAAAAAAAAAAAAAAAAAAAAAAAAAAGAAAAAAGTGAACATTGAAGGGAAAGAATGAAAAGAGAAAGAATTTAAATCCATCCAAAACTGGCTGGCAGAACAGCTCTAACTGAAGCAGAAAAAGTATGGTCATTTTCTCAGCCTGAAAAGCCCAAAAAGGGATTCTAACCTAGAAAGTTTGAAATCATTACAACAATCATTTGAAAAGAATCTCCTTTGTCAGTCTTATGAACAGTATAGTTCTTAATTCAAGTTAGTGACTTAGGGATAAATCCTGGAGAAGAAGTAAATCCTTCAAGAAAGGCCTCTGCTTCATACAAAAGCTATCAAAGAGCTTAGTGACAAAATCCTCTGCCCCAGTTGGTCAGGCTGCCTGGGCAGCTGGTCTATTGCAGTTAATATACATTGCAAAAGGTACACCTTGTAAAAGGACTTACAGCTGGCTACCTTCCATGTGGATATTTGGTCTTTTCTTCTAGAGTATTTCAGGGGTCTTCTTTGAGGTTTCAATGGCATTGGATTTGTTCTCTCATCCCATATATCATTCAAATAACTCAGTGTCTCAGCTGATGCAGTGTTTGGCTACTGTTTGGTTTCTGATTAACTTAGCGATGCGTTTTCACAGTTTTTATGCAGTTTCTGGTTCATGATCAGACATTAATGTGGAAAAATTACTTCCATTTCACTTAACGTTAAGCATTATATGACTGCATCATCATTTTAAATTACCTTGCAACAATTAGACAGTTACAGTCTACAGATTGCTGCCTCTGGCATGCATTACAAAACATTATGATAACCTATTGCCCTTATTTTATAACTTCCTTTCTTTCAGACAATATTCATCGTAATCAACCAGTAGACTTTTTGCTCTATCAGAGTAGCACCTATATCAAAATATAGATGTCACTACTATGATTTCTACACTGTAAACATTGGATGTTCATTTTGAAGTGAAATAAGAACTGAGACAAATAGATGCACGTACATATGTATACTGACATACATGGTGGAATTTTCCCCATTCTTTATTTCAAGTACTATTCTTTCTATAACAGTACGCTTTTCAAATGTTTTTCTTTATCATTTATCTGCCTACTTTTAACATTTAATTAACACAATTCCAAATTGTCAAGATAATGGGGTTTTAACCTTCCTTATTTTCTCTTGATTTGCCTAAGAACATGATAATTAGTGTTTGTTATATGCAGCATGACATTTCTTCTTTCTCCAGCAAACTGCTAATCTTTTACTTTTTTTGATAGTGCTGCTCTTACTGAATTTATTCCTTTTTAACATGATTATTTCATTTTATTCCTCTGTTACAAGCTTTTAAACCATTTTTCAAAGTATTTTTTTCATTTGGTTCATCAGGATTCATGAACACATATACCTTGTTTAAAGTTTTGCAGTTCTTTGAAAATGTCCTTTACTCTGTTTACATTTCTCTTTAATTTTTATGTGTAATTACTGTATCAAATGTATTAAAAGGCAACTAAAAAGGTATTTCCAAATTAATTGTAACATCTTTATTAATATCTATACAAAATTTTGGAAGACAGTCTAAAAGATACTGCTCGTCACATGATCCTGCAAAATGCTATATTTCAGCTCATTTAAATGTGTACTTTATATGCTATTTTTTATCATCAACATTTTACATTAACTTTAGCTGCTATGTCATGTAATACCGAATCACAAATACTTAGGAAGTGGAACTAAATTAGTCATGACTTTTCGGCATGCCTTTTGTGATGGGAGTTCTTGTGCTTGAGCCTATTTGGACACTCTAGAAGCATTTCCATTTTTCATAGCTGAATAGCTCCATAAGTAAATTCTATATCTTCAATTCCCACTCACTGGTTTCACTTTTTTCAACTGTAGTTGTTCCACTTTGCCAGGAATTGTTGAAGATCTATTGAAACACAATGCCAGAGCTTCCACAGCACCTATCAACCAGTTGTAAAGAAACAACTGTAGTCTGTTCTAGCTAATACTTCAGTTTATGTGAGGGAAGGATAGAGGAGTGCAGTGTGGAGTAAAAGAGAGAGACTGGAAACAGCTCTTTCTTTTCCCAAGGGCAATAAAACTCCTGTTCAACTTTTGAAAGCTTCAGGGTCCAGTTCTTGGGATAGGTTCAAGACTATGAACCTGATGTGAAGGGAGATGTGCCTTGAAGCCCAAAGGAACTGTAAGAATATCTTAAAGGGTGGAGATTTAAGGTACAATAATTTCTCATTTAACTTCTCTGATAGTGTAGACACCTACTTACACTGTAGACTGATACAGATATTCTTTATTTTCCCCAGGCTCCAGACCATTACTTATCACTGCACTGTAAAGTTCCCTACAGGTCAATATGCTCACAAATGAGATGTTGTAGCACAAAGTTCAAGCACTTAAGTGTCCTTTGTGGATCTAATCTAAAGTCGCTTTTGAAAACAGGATTTAGGGCTTCTGACACTTTTACCCTATGTGTCCTGGGGTCACGTGTTGAGATATAAGGAAATTAATTGTCAGGTCTCTTGAGCCCTAGTTCCCCCATGTGATCACAGGATGCTTCTCCTCAGCACACTAATTTGGTCAGGGTATTGACACCACTATAATGTAACAAAAAGGACTCTCAAGTTTATGCCCATTTTCCAGACATGAACTTGCCTTGGATACCTACTGCCTATGCAAAGTATGTTTATGTACATGCTTATTTTTATCTTTTCCAGAAATTCCTAATAAAATAAACCATGCTGAAGCCAAACATCTTGCAGACGCCTCAGGGTCAGACAAAACTGAAAGAACAACAAAGAGGTCCAGAGTATCAACCATAAGGCGGATATTTGACATGGCAAAGCACCGAACAAAGAGGTCGTCCTTTTTCTCAACTGGTGTGAAAGTTTGCCCACAAGAATCTGTGAAGCAGATTTTAGCCAGTCACCAAGCTTACTATAGATTAAGAGGTAAGATGATTATTGTAGCATGTACTTCCTCCTGCAAAGTCTTTCTTTTAATTGAGGAAACAGTAATTTTCCAGAATCTTGTTCTTCACCTTTAAGCAGTGTATGTGCTATTTGCTTTATGGTTTATTTCACCATAGATAAGCATAACATAGATAAAGTTACATGTGCATCAGCAGGGTTCAAGACAGACAGTTACCAGAAGAAAATAAAAAAATGCACTCAAAGGACTAATGAACTTGGAGTAATTGCATAATGTTCTAGCATGGCTGATCGTGAAGACCAAATTGTGCTTGCATTACTGTGTAAAGATGTACCACCTTTCTCATAAGTGCAGCAGGAACCATCGTTGCAAGTCTGAATTAATCTCACCAGTTTAAGACAAGCAATGAAAGTATTAATTGGTCATTGCATAAATATGTTGGTGTATCTGTACATACAGTAAGTCTGTAGCAGTGTTAGTATACAACAAACACTCAGATAATTGTCAGCAGGTCATGAAAAGAACTTAGTCTTATTTTCAAAAGGTCTCAAATACTTCTTCTGCCTTTTCTCAACTAATTCACTCTCTCCCCAGCCCTTTTTCTCTTCCCTTCCCCATAGAAAGCCTATAGAGTTACAACTCCAATTCTAGGTCCCTAGAGAGCACGGTGCAAATAGGCTCCTGGTTTTCATATTTTCTCTCTTCCTCCCTCTATCCCTTCCAGTCTTTCACTCAGTGACTGTTTCAATTTGTATTAGAAAAATGCATATTTTTGCACTGCAGCTAGACAGTCCAAAGCTAATTCTAAAACCTAGTCAGCATTTCTGGAATGCAAGTATCCAAGGCAACATCTGCTCTCTAAGTCTCCTCTGCTTGTCTGTTTTTCCTCTATATTGGTCTCCAACCATTCACATACATCCATGTAACTTGGCTCTCTTTTAGGTAGCTCTCTCTGAAATGAAACCTGGATGTAGAGCTGCAAAACTTTTACTCCAGTAGCCACTTGCTACAAGCAGCATAGGAAAATTACACCAATGTCTGTAGCTATTCCTATAGATACAAAAGTATTTGGTCTCCATTGTAGCATCCTATGGGCACTAGAGAGAAATCTGAAATATGTTAAAGAGGTTGATCCAAGAAGCATTTCTTAAATTCAAATTAATCCTGAAAGTCCCTGAAACTCACCGGTTACATCCCAAATAGGGCTGAAAACAAGCTGTCCTGAAACAGGCCGGTATCATTAGCTTGAACTCAAAGAACCATACGTGTGACCCTTTCTTTTAAAAAACTGAATATGACAATACTACCAACTTTTTGGAGAGCAGCACATCACCTGGACTCTATAAGTCTTGTAGTGCAGGCAGGTTTAAACTTGCATCTCCTTTTCCTCAGCAGGGTTCTACACTCACAAAATTCTCTGAACAGGTGTCATCTAGTTCTTCAACTGAAACCTGAGTACTTCCCCAAAAAGGAAGCAATCAAACAGATGACTGCAGCTGAATAATTTGTACACTCATTCAGAAAAAGGCGTTTCTGCTCCCTTGAATAGTTGCACATATTGCATTACAGTATCCTTCATTAAAACCTCAAAAAATTTTTCCTGCAAGGAAAGATCACAATCCTTGAATCTGTAACCACAGTACAAGCCTTCACGGAAAGGTAATCTGGTATCCATACTGGAGCCTTACAGCCTGTGCCTATCTGTGGCACAATCTTACCTTCATTTTGTTTCATACATAAACTTTCAGGTCTGTTCTTTTCTGTGTCTAAAGTCTAGGAGATCACTTCTACCCCTCCAAGTCCCATGACACATTTAGAACAGTAATAGCACTGTGGATCATATCAGTCTTCTAGAGAACTTTTCTGCTTTCTAAGAAAAATTACACCTTTTTTTTTTTTTTAACACACACAAATATACTTCCAGGAATGAGCACATGACAAAAAGAGCTCAAATATAGGAGCTCAGACAGTTTCTATTGGATAACCTGAGGCCACTGTGACCCTACACCAACTCTGAAATAATACACTATAGCATAAGTCACAATGAGGACAGTCCCTCATGTGGGGCAAACTGGGTGAAAGCATGGAATCATCTACAACACCTCCTCAACTGGTCATGTGTCACGTTTATCTGGTAACTGGATTACTTATCATCAGATACTATATCTTTATTCAGCAGTTGCCGCTCAGAGAAACAGATACCGGAGAGCTGCAAGAAAAAGAGGATAGAAAGTAGCTTTAACCGCTAGCTCATAATGAATAAATCTCCTCAAAAGACAGCCTGTTCCTTTTTAATAGTCTGAGCACATCTGCTGCACATGCAGCTGCTCTACGGGGAGGGCAGGTTGCTCCTGAGGTATTATTGAGGGGCTCTAACCCAGCTGGGTGAGTACATCCCTACAGCAAGTTTAGAGTATACCTAAAGAAATGACTGCACTAATTTCAGAGACATCGATAATGCAGATAATGAACTCACTCTAAGTCAAAGTAGCTATCAAGTACTGAAAATAAATGACCCACCTCACAGTAATGAGCTTTGCAAAGTAAAGTGCTACAGGCAACAGCTTTTAAATTGCAAGTTTCTGTTAAAATGGTTTTTCTAATAAGTTTGAAAATTCCTCTCTCTAAAAGCATTTAATTTTAACCAACATTTCGAAGTGTGTTCCTTCATTTTGAGTGATGAATGTGTAAACGTGCAAATACCAAATCACTTTTAAAAGGCTTTCGAGTTTACTTTTTGGTAGAAAGCACCCATCCCCAGCCCCTTTCTTCTTACTCAGTCTGCCAGGAAGCTGTGTGGGAAGCCTTTCGTATTTTTCTGGATCGGATTCCTGATACTTCTGAATATCAGAACTGGGTTACTGCCTGCCAGAGGGAAACCTTTTGCATATTCGACATTGGCAAAAACTTCAGCAATTCCCAAGAGCATCTGGAAATAATCCAACGGGTAAGGATTACTGACACTTGTTTATAAACTGGGAGAGACTTCCAAGTCCCTCCCTATCTGCTTATTTAAGGGCAAAGTATTGCTCAGGAGGAGGAGGGGGCATATCTTAGAAGAAAAATATACAAGGATAGTAAAAAAAAGAGCTAACAGGTTTCTGCTCTACCTGGTTGGATACACCCACTAGTAAAATGCTGTTTTTCTTAATCTTTTTGCAGCGAGTGAAACATAGAACCTTCCAGGAAAGGTAAGTAGCACAAGTAGAACCTTGTCACTTGATGTTACTGCCTTTTTTAAAAAAGATATGTGTAGATGCGTGTGGATGTGAACAGATATACAGATAGCATTGTGGTGTATTTGGCGTGTGCTGTGAGAGAGGTGTATACTGTATGTACCATAGTACACAGCAATTGAATCACAAATAATGGAGGTGGCCAAATGTCTGAGTTACCTGTTCACTTCGAGACACCACATAATGTTTTCTCAGACTAATGTGAGCATGAAACTCTGTCAGAGACATGGCTCTGCATTAGACCAGTGTTGACTGGGAGTATGACAAAAGTTGCTATATAGTTTCTCATAAAGGAAAGTCCAAGAGCTTAACAAAGGTTTATCTGAGAGGTTTCATTAAGCAATAATATAAAAACTCTATGCCTTCACTTTAGCCTTCTCCTGTATTTTTACACATCATGACAGTGTCAACTAATGTGATACTTTCTTCTACAAACTCTTTGAAAGAAATATGCTTCTGGCAACACTCAGAAGTCTGAGAATGACAGGATTTAAGTTACAATACTGAACTCTGTCTCTCTGCATATAAATACTGTAGTAAACCCAGACAAATCATTGTCCATAACTCCTCTGAATAATGTATTATTTTTTCCTTCAAGTTTTTTTTATTTTCAGGACATTTTCAGGCAAATAATCTTTTGCATTCGTAAGTTACACTGTCCCATGATCACAGAGATCTTATGTATCTTTGTTCATTCCAACATGAGAGATCTGAGGGCTTTTTCTCAGAAATGTATTTTTAATAATGTAGGCCCTAATTAAACTCCCCTGGAAGGCCAAAGGGAGGTCTTTTCATTCAGTCTAGTGCAAACAGCAGCAGCAAGGCATTAAGTGACTGATCTCAGAGTTCTTAAATTCTTTGTCAACAGTATGGTTTTCCCTAGAAATAATTGAGAAGATGAAGTAAATGCTATGAAATTACTCGTATTTTAGTGGGAAATACAGCCAACCATGATTATGCATGGTTGGACTTCATCTTTACTATTATGTGGCTTGGGAAACATTTTGTATCTTCTGTAGATGCCACATAGATCAGTCTCCAGTTAAAACACAACACATAATTAGTTAGCATCGTGAAAACAGTATAAATAGTACTTTTGTTCTCACTGTATAAGATATCCAGAGGATGTGGTAAATCAGTTGTTGTTCATGTTCTTTATTTATGTTATTAAACATCTCGGTTGGTCCCGTATAGAAATGTATCTCATACATCTTTTCTGTCTACACTGCAGGCTTTATGCTATCTCAGTTAACACCACATCACACATTTACAACACCCTTATTCTTTCACTCATACCAGTTTTCACAAATACAGCATCTGTGTGCACTGTAGAAATTTTGAGGAATTCTATTCTCATTTATTTCAAAGACTGTTCTTTTTATTTTATGTTGTGGGTTTTTTCCACATCCTACTTAGAACTCAAAACAATTGAAATTCTTCGCACCCCAATTTCAGGAAAGAAAAATCTCAAAATGTCCCTAAAATTCTTATCTAAAAATCTAAATTTTCCCAAAAGCTGAATGAATAAAAATTTGGTTTTAGAGCAGAAATTATTTCATAACCTTAACAGCAGGAATATCTAATACATCTATAATAAAATGTACTTAGATATACATACTAGTTCTGCTTTTCAGGCAAGTCAACAGTTGCAATTGCAAAAGGTATTCATTACCTCATGGCTGTAAAACTTACAATAGAAAATAATATCAACAATACAAAACTAAACCCTGTGATACAAGGCAGACAACCTTACATCATACCCACCATACTCTTTCTTGGGTTTTCAGCTGTCTTCCATGGGGACCATGGCAGGCATTAACCCATGAACATTACATCTCATAGTAATCTGGATCCAGGAATCTGACTTGAAACTATCATTATTTGGAAGCATTCTTATGATATTATAATGCAGGCCAACAACTGAAAAATAAATACATCCATCCTCTCCTCAAACCATACCATATAAAACTCTCTTGGTACCGTGAAATGTCCATTGGTCCTAAAATTAGGAGAGGCCCAAAGCTCTCACTGAACTATATTGACAGGATGAGATATAGCAAAGGAGACAATAGTTGGTTTAGATGGTGTACAAGAAGTCTTGCTTCCATTTCACACAGTGGTCTACCATTCCTTAACCTCAAAGGGAAACAAAAACAGACCCAGGGCACTGATTTAATCTCTGTAATCCCATCCCTCCAGTTGCATGGATAAAATCAGTCATGAAATCTCATGAGCAGATTCCTAACGGGATGGATAGTCCTTGGTGGAGGAATATATCAAATCAGTATTTTTGTAAGAGCAAATATTCAACTGAAGTAGAGGAAACGAAATACATAAGCTGTCAAATAAAAAATACGATCTACCGTTCCACTGCCTTTTTAACCAGCTTACAAAATATTCCATTAGAAATAACTTCACTCATTTAAACCACACTTCTATATTTCTAAATTTTTTTACACTTTTTTCATTGCCAGTACAGTATGGAGAAAATTAAATCACTCATTTATTTTTGATTGATAGGAAAGATGAAATATCCGCAGAGAAAATAGGAGGCAAAAAGGTGGAAGAAATTCCTTCCATTTCTACAGGTAAAATCAAGTCTGCTTTTTGTGTGTCTGTCCTTTAAATAGAATTGCTAAAGTCAGTCATTCTTAGGTCTTAAAAGGCTGTAATTTAATGAATGCAGTAGAAGCATGACAAGTTCAGCGAAGTACGATGAAAATGTTTTTAACAAAATAATCTTTATGAAGCAACTTTTATCTCTTTACAGCATGTCTGCTACTCAAATGTAGCATTCCAAGTTGACTTTTGCCTTCAGTCACACACATGCAATGCTACTGATGTTTGACCTGGAAGAAAGACTGTCTATTGTATAAAACATAGCAGCTTTATCCATGCCATAAGTCACAGCCACCTTCCAGTGGCACAGACTTGTGCTCAAACACACCCTCCTTAAGGAAAGCTACTCCAGTGAGCTGACACCTGACCAACACAGAAAGGGGAAGATTTTTGATGTGCAAACTTGTTCTTGCCTGACTTTTCTTTTAACCCCCCTGCAGGCTCCCCTGGCACACCCCTCTCTCCATATGCACCTAATGGCACGCTGCTCAATGAAATCGTTAACGACACGAAGACTCCTGTGAAGGTCAGGGCAGCCTGTTTTCCTATCCCATTTTTTCACTCACCTTTTTTTTTTTTTGAGCTCAGCTAGAAGAAAAGAGGAAGAAGCCTTATAAACACTTAGTGCTTCGAAACCATGAGTTCTCCCATCTGTTTCAGCCAGTGGAACTGAAGGGGTCTATTAGCATCTGTTCTGTACCGGAGTAGGGCCTGATGTTTCTCAAGTATGAGGTAGAAAGTATACAAGTATGGAAACCAGCTTTTAGTAAGAGTCTTCATTCTCTGAAGGAGGGGCCTGTTGCCTATCTTGCACCATTTTGCAACCTTATTATTCAATAAATAACACCAAAAAACATACCTTCTAGGGCTGCCACAACACAGGAGATAAGACTGGCCCTTCCTTGCTTTTTTCTGGCCAGACAACCAGCTATCAAAGAAGCACCTCCACTGCTATCTCTTCAGAGCAGCCATGCAACACAGCTCTGGAAACTACCCCTTCCTCCACAGGTTTACAGCAGCTGCCACCAGTTACCTCTGAGAGAGGGGTGGAGTGCTGGGAGGAGTTGTTGTTTTCCCTGTCCTGGCTGCTAGAAAGGTAGTCCTGGTCTCAGCACAGCTGTGTGGCCTCAGGGAACCTCCCTCTGGAGGCATTACCGGGGAGGACTCTGCTTCTGAGGAGCCTTCGCTCTTACATTTCCTCTTTGCTTTGCTCTGAGAGTTTTTCCCAATCTATAGAACAGCTACTTGAAAAACCTCTTTTTTTTCTTTTTTTTTTGGGGGGGGGGGGGGGGTTGTGCATACTGGCTGTAGGAAGAGGCTCATTTGGGGGCAGGAATGCTGGGTGAGGCCTTGCCATCACACCCCTGGCAAATCACCACTGTTCCCCCTCCCACCTATACAAGCTCCTCAGCTCCAGCACAGGAATTGCACTGGCATGATCCCATATAAATGCTGTTTTCACTGCCCAAAATTATTACATCCTTGTAATGTAAGAAAGCAAAATAATCTTTAAATAGTCTCAACTTTCTATTACCTACCTGTATCTCAGATCTTACAGCAAAAGAGCGAATAGAATATGAGGGTCTAGTGGTTTTAAAATCACTTATTTGTGATGTTTGAGATGTACCAGATAATTGTCATTAACCAGTTTCTCCTTGTTACAGATCTCCTTATTCTTTCTTGCCCAATCCTCTATCACCAGCTCCCTAAAGGTTGTCTCCTCAAAAGTCATGTAGAAAGTGCATATTCCCGAATCTTCCATTTATATGATAGAACATTACAGAATGCTCTTTCTCTAACTGATGAGCCACATTTCTAGACACAACACAAAACATACATTCTTCTAAAACTGAGGTATCCTGAGGAATGATATAGCAGAGCTGAGTTTTGCAGAATCAGTGGGTGCAGAAAGTGCTCTCTCCCGTTTCACTCCACATTCTGTGGTTCTATTATTAACATCTTACTTTCTCTCTTATCCCCTGCCACTGAAATCTCACTTATTTCTTGTTCTGTTTATTTTTGGAAGGTATTAAAGCCTAGGTGTTATGTATGGGACAGATGTCTCTAGCAGCCTTATGCCAATTTACCTGGCAGCAGAAATGGCAACTTCACCTCGCTGTGAGACTCAGGCTGATGAGCTTGCTGCTCTTTTGGGCCAGTTTCTTCTTGACCTTGTTGTATTTGTTTGTATTTTCTCCAAGGTGCAAGAAATCTGGCTGAGAGTAGAATTATCCTTGAGCAAATAAAAAAGATAAAATCGTGTTTGAAGAATACAGAATATCTATGTATTGCAAATAAGTATAAACATGCAACGTATATGCAGTACATGCAGTAAAGAAGAATTTGTTTTTTGTTCTGAGATCTTTGTTAAATAACAGGCTTTCTTTAGAACCCTGAAAGATTTTATTCATTAAAAAAATGTAATAAAATACATTGGCGGTGAAATGCAACGATGATATGTGTTAACATTAGTAACAAGATTTGTGAAGAAAGACAGAGCTTGGTAGAAGGCAGGAGTTTCCTGGGTGAGCTCTCTACATCACCTCTTCAGGAACTTGCATTCCAAGACTTGAAATTTGAAGCTCAGCTCTGTTTGTGAATAAGGAATGAGAGATACCTTCTGATCTTAAAATTAGAAAATGTAACTTTACTTTAATAACTTTATATTTAGGATGAACTAGGAAATCTTTCTCAATGCACCCATAGCGACTTTGCCCCTTGGGGCAGCACATCATAGCCTACAAATGAATTGACATTTGGAATTTAATGTAATTAAAGAACAAAAATTAGTAAATGTAAGGAAAAACTACAAATACTGTTGGGAAACAGCAAACAAAATGAGTACTTTTAACAGCAGTAAAGTCAGCTGCACAAGAAAGGTGTATCACAGGTAGGGCTAATTCTAATTTATTAACAGAAAACCCAAATGCAAACTTCTGAACATGAAACAGTAACAGAGAGTCAGGAACTCTGCTCTGACTGACCATGGGTTTTCTGAGTGTGGGATTTCAACTAGCTTGTAGAATTTTCTTGTCATTCTCCTTGATGTCACACATTGTCCTCCAAAGTGGCAAGTAAAGCTATATGACTTTACGATGATGGAAGTAAGACTTGAAAACAGTCTCTGTGCAAGAAATGGCTTGATTCTCTTCACCTTCATTTATGCATATCAAAGGCAATGCTCAAGTTACAATAGTAGAAACTTGTTTGCAAAGAGAGAAGAATTAAGCCAACATATATGTATAGAAACTGTTATCTTTTGTAGAATATGGTTCAGAAAGTTATTTTGGGGATGGGCTTAAAAGGGAACCTAATCTACCTGTTAAATACCAACACGTTGGGAAAAAAAATCACTTAGTTTTATTGCTTCACTTTTTTTCATTTCTTCTTCTTTTCCAGGAGCTGGGAACAAATGCAGTCCCTGAACTCCCTGTGGAGCAAATGGTAGAATTCAGTGTAACTCTCACTGATCAGGAATACACAGCTGAACTTAGTGATCCCAACTCTCCAGAGTATCAACAACTAGCTGCCAAATTTCAGCTACAGGTAAGGAGGCTGAGTGAATGCAAAAATGTTGACTTTATATCTTGGCTGAGGTTCATACTATAAACCTACCCTTACCATGAAATAGAATTAGACTCTACTGCCCTCACTTTGAACAGATAATTCCTGTCATCTCAAGACCTTAAGTTTTTCCCCTCATTCGAGCTATCTGTTCAGCCACCAAGCTAACAAGCCGAAAGCTTTGACAGAAATAGAGCCTCAGATAACTGATGAACAGAATAACTTCAGGAATATCATTCAGGCTTAATCAAGAATTCATGGGCAGTACTTTGTCATAATTTAATTTCTACAATAAACCTAATGAGAAATGTAATATAAATGTTTAAAGTAATTAGTTACTGTTGTCTGAACTATTTTTCAAAAGACTTGCACTCATTTTGTTGTGCATTGACATAGTTTCTGTAAGAATTGGAACATCCGTAGTGTTTTCATATAATTAATAATATTAACTGAATGTTCAGCTATCAGTTTAACAGCAGATAGCAGATAATGACTTGAGGTTCCTAAAAGGTTTTCTTAGTAAAATCAACTAAAGCTTCTCATCAGTTTTATGAACATTCCTTAGTGCAAGTTATTTTGCTTTCCTAGTTCAGTTCCAGATATGCGTAGAAAAATGGCAAAGGATGTGCTGGCAGAGCTGATAAAAAATGGTTTTTCTCAAGATTTCCAGTATTACCCTCAAACAGAAGTGCCCGCAGACTTTGTTTACTAACTATATAATGCATCTTCTATTCAAAACCATTTAATCATACACTTGTTAACGTTAAAGTTAAAAGTATATTGTTATTCTGTTTGTACAACATGGTTAAAACTGTTTAATTTATAAATGATTTGTCAAATAATCTAAACCCATCTGCATTTGGTTAATATTTCTAAGTAATTAACAATTTACAGGTGATTTGAATCACAAAACTATACATGAACCAAAACTGCTGAAAAACCATTTGATTCATGTTATTTGACTTGCTCTCTTATGATCTAGATTATCACTGATTTACGTAATTACTGAAAAAGAGCTATATTTTGTGCTTCATTTTGCCTGTTAACAGGTAATATAGCCAGTATATACAAACCAAACACTGTAAACTGAGCAATTATGATACCACAAAGAAGGCAGTTGAGACTGTTTCGTAAAGCTCTTTCTCAAAAATAAAAAATATTGTCTAGGTAGTCAACCTGTGCTTGCCTTTTAGTTACAGATCTCACACTGTATTAATTTTTTATGGTTTTATATAGATGAAAAAAATATTTGAGAAACTTCCAGGATTCAAAGAAATCCGCGTATTAGGATTTAAGTAAGTAAGAAAACGGGGCTCTCTTTTCTGTTGGCTGCTAGGGTTCTTCTGTTCCTTCTTGTCCTTCAAGATGAAGAGGCCTGTGGACTAGTGTGGGGGCAGAGGAGGGGAGGAGCATGTTGCTGTAAATAGAAAAGAGTTTTATGGTAATACTATGGAGACAATATGGCAAGAATTGCAAACACATTCCAAGTGAGACTATGAGGTTTTGAAGTACTAAATAGAAGTAGTTTTGATTCACTGAGAGGTGAAGGATACAATAAATTCTTTGAATTGTTTGCTATCAACCCTATATTAAGGACTTTTTAAAATTACAAGGTACAGAGAGTTAGAAGTAGGATTATTTAGGTGACTACTTTTTTGTGTGTGGATCCTGTGCTGTTCATAGATCACAGTGAAGAGAGGGTTGCAGGAGGCTACATGTCTGTACATATAACACTTTTCCAGTACTTGTTTTCCAGGTGTTTCAAACAATTTAAATTTTTAATTTTTTTTTTAGTAAATCTGAGCTCTGTCTTTCAATTTCTTTTAGTTTTAGCTTCCTTGTATGTTTATTACTAATACAAGCTCTTATGTACTTTTTCAATAGAGAATCTACAGGGGAGGGGGAGACAAAAAAATGGGTTATGCTTCTACATAATAAGAGCACATTGTGTAAAGGATTAAATGAACAATAACTAATAGTAAGAAACTATACAAAATTGAAAAGGAATAAAGAGCAGGGAGAAAAGACATAAATTTATGTGGGCTTACAGCACCGCATCAGAAACATTCAGTCCTTCTAGTAATATTTAATACATGTTAAAGAATGCTCATATTGCAATGTAATTTTAGACAAGAGCATCCTTCTTCCTAGCATTTCTCTCTGCAAAACTGCTGGGAGAAAGGAGAGAGAAAAGCAAAATAGACTGAAAATTAGTTGCTTATATTTTTATATTGAAATCAATAAAACAAAGAGCTGCCACAGAAAAAGCAGAGAAGTCTATAGTAGCATCTCATAGTTACAACTTGCAATAACTAACCCCTTTCAGTTATGACTCCAGATCGGGGATCCATTTCAGTTTAGTATCTTGGACTTAGAAGCTGATATGAAAGTATATTCATCAATATGGAAGACCAGGATTGATTCCCACCATCTAGTAATTTAGTTAACTCCTGAGAGGTACAGATCAGCAAAGACAGGTGTTGCTGTCCATTCTCCCTAAGCCATATTAGTGTATATATTAGCAGCATTTCCCCCGTGACAACATTATAAATATTCTAGAGAATTCATCAGGGAAAATAACAAGGCATTATATACAGAAGGTCAACATAGGCATGTCTTCCAGAGGTAATTAATACTTCAAGTTACCCCTGTACCTAGAGTCTCAGTAGGCACCACGTATGATAACAGTAATCATTGCTACTACTGCCACAGGTGTTCATTGCCACCATAAAGACAGAGATTAGCACAGACAGTGCTCAAATTGCACCATTTGGGGTGGGAAATAGGAAAGCTTATATTTCAAAGTATCATGGTAAAGTAAAATTCCTCTCTCCCCACACAAAACATGGTGATTACTATTGTTTGGAAGGGAAAAAGTAAACCGATGAAGAGTAGAGTGTCATTTTCACACAGAGATAAAAATTATAGATGGCACGTACAAGATAAGATAAATTGTCAAAAGATGGTTGTGATGTGTATGACTGAACGATTTACCAGTATACATGAATCTTTGTTTTTCTTTCTTTTGCAATCCTTTCTCAAACCCTTTCTTCTGTGATGAAATGAAGACAGAAGAAGGAGAAAGATGGGTAATCTTTCTGTAATGCTTAATTAAGATTAATAATTTTATTGACTAATTATTAATAATGATTATTAATCCTTTTATTATGTACATAGATACATCAGTAAATGTCCTTTATCTTGATGTGGCAAAGTGAATTGATTATGTTCTGCCTAAGAACAAAATCTGTGATGTGAAGCAGCAGGGACGGCTTTTACTTTTATCTGAAAGGTTCATGTAATCAAATTTTGTCAAGATCTCTCTGAAGGAAAGAAAATATTTGATCTAAGAAAATTCACATTCAGATGACTGAAGAATTTTATCAGTCGTATACTGAAAGTGAAAAATAAATAGGGAAACTTTATATTCCAGTTTCATTTTTGATCTGTTGTTTCCTAGCTCTATTCCCATATGCACATTATTTTCAATGAGTACGTAGAATTTGATTTGTTATCTCCATTGTCAAGCCAGATAGAAAAGCAAAGAGACCGGTTACTAGCTTGATAAAATGCAGGGAGTTTTTGAGTAGTAATACAAACAGATGTAGAGTCTATTGTTGTTGCTGCTTAAAAGTGCTCCTGGGGAATATTTTGTCTAGCAGTTCCCAAAATTTCTCTTTTACTCATACTTTAAAAGGAAGAATTGTCTACTGTTTTTCCTGAATTCTTGCAATGTCATAGAAATTTAAATATATAGTACATACTAGATAAAGTGAAATTCCTTTCTCTACAGTTATTTGATATTGTAAAAAGCAACATAGTATAGAAATGTTTACAATGTACTCATTATTTTTCATTATAATTAGGTGATAAACATTTATGAAAAGTCATGTATTAATAATGGTGAACATTTGAGACTTCCATTGAACATCTAGCTATAAACACCCATTTGGAGTTGGAAGAGCTAACACCCCTTGTGAAAAGTGATTTGCTTGCCACATTAACTATTTTTTTTGCTGTTCTTTGAAAAAGAGTAAAAAAAATGCCTCAGTTGTGATAAGATTTTTGCTTATCTGCAGTTTTATGGACTGCCTAACCCCTTTTCGGAGGATCCTGCATAATGTGTGATTATGGCTTCTAGTAACTCCAGCATGCATTTATGGCTGTTTGAATCAGTAGTCAATGACTGATCAGTAGTCAAGGTTTCTGAGTAGTGAGATTAAACTGTATTATATTAGAATATTTTTACAATTTTATTCATAATTTGAATTTCTATTTAAAATCATGAATAGAAGAAAAAAGGTATAGCAAAAGTAATTTGAAGGTGACAGTCTGGTTAGAAAGAAGTAAATCTGCATCGCTTTCATAGAAGATAATATGTTATGGTTGCATATTTGTTTGTCGGTAAAATTGGTTCTCAGTCAGTAACTGATTTTGCTGCACTGGGCATTTTTACCTTTCCCCTTGCAGATCAAGCAGCACTATAGCACGGTATGTGGTGAACTTTGAGAGAGATAGCTCAGAAATCAAAAGCACAGCAGATGACATCTCAACTATTGGATCTAATAAAGTTGAAAGTGAAAAAATTCCAATTTCTCCAATGGAAGAGAGGGAGATATCAGGAACTAAACTCACAGTAACAGACCTTCAGCAACTGGTTGCCATTGCACTCCATGAAGACCAGTCCCTGCCAATGGACCTTGGGACACTTCAGTTTACTGATGGTTAGTAGGCAGGCAGGTGCCAGACACAGGTCTGAACCTTGCCTTTCCAAACTGATGCAATTTCAGTAAGGTGTATTTCACTGCTCTAAAAGATTGTTTTCATTTGATATAGCCTATTCTCTTTAGTGTTGCATAGCATCCAAAGGATGCAGAGATGTAAGTTAAATTTTATAGCAAACTGTGCCTCTACAATTATACAGCCAAACATCCAATCGTATTAGAGGATCTATTTTTTTCTTTCTTTGTTTAGAAAATCTGGATATTTTGCACACTAAGATAATTAAGAGGAGAAAAAATAAAAGAAATACTATGAATATTCACTGTATCATTTTAACTTCCCAGTATGGACAGTCTCCTCTCTTTAGCAAGACAAAAAGTGAGAGCTTCCTCCAACCTAAAAATTAGGCTTTCTGAAAGTTCTGTCTTGATCGTAAGCAAGCCATCTAAGCTCTCCATGAAGTCAGAGAGACAGACACTTTAAAGAACATTTGGTCCCAAGATAAAATCAGTAAAGGTGTGCTTCACTCTGAAACACAGAGGGAGTATAGATGACAAGCTGGGTGTGAGGACCTCCAGCAGAAGGTTGGAGGTCTGCACCCTGTTCAGTAATCCAGATAATAAATATCCCCTTCTGGTCCATCAATTATTTTTGCAAAACCAGCATATCCCTAATTTTGGGGAGGTGGGTTAAAAGGTGGGAAATTATTTAAAATAATTTTTCATATGTGTATTTACCAAAACAATCTTAAAACACATACCAAATTTAACTATACTGTTTAATTTGCAAACAGCAGCATTTTCTTGCCAAAAAAAATTATTCAGATGAACTAATACTTTCTGTAAGAATAAAATGTCATATTTAAACGTAGATTCAAAGTCCCCACAAAAAATAGATATTGAACACTTCAATAATATATATTTTAATCAACTTTTTCCCAGTCGTTATTTTTAATAATCAGTTTTAGAAAAACAGCTGTTGTGCAATGACTTTTAAAGAGCTCCTCTGGGGGGGTGAAGGGACCAATGGGGCACTAAAGCCAAAACACTGACGTTAACAGTGGTGTGGACTCTAGGTAAAACTGAAGTAAATTTAGGCTTAATGAACAATGTAATATAATGAGTCACCATAATCTATGCAGATTTAACTGAGGGGTTCGTACTTCAGCTGATTTTAAGCATTCCTCCATTGTTCAGCTCTCCGCAGACCTATCCTATCTATGCTAAATAAAGCGTACAAAGAACACGGCATATAAAATTCTGATTTTCCTCATAATTGTCAGGTTGAATGGACATTGAAGGCTCACTCTTCTTAACATGGATTTTAAAAAGTAATTTTTCGATGGAGAACAGTTTAGTACTGGCTTTTACTGACCTTATGTGTTTTGATCAGTTTTCAGCGTGTTGAAATGCTGTTTTCTCTCTCTCTCTTTAATGTTTTTGATTTTGTTTTGTTTTGTTTTGTTGGGGCTTTTTTGTTTGTTTGTTTGTTTTTTTTGCAGAATCTATTATACCACCTAGTGATTTTGATAATGATATCCAAGGCATGGTCACTATTCCTCTGGCAGGCCCTGATTTGGTAAGTTAATACTGGTTATCGTATTTATTTATTTTTCCATGGAAAACAAAATTAAACAGTGTTAAGATGGACATAAATATAAAAAAAACCCCGTTTCATGTGCTAACATATCTGGTTTTGTACTTGCTGTAAGGATGAATGTTGTGTTGTTATACTGCAACAAAGATAGTGTTTAGAGCATTTACAGATGAATATTGCTGCCTGATTACCTTTTCCAATTTTAATTACAAAGTAAGCAAGGTCTTAGTAGTTCGGTAGTACAGAGCAACTGACAGGGATAATGAAGGCCATTTTTAAAATTACAGGCAATGTGATTAGGATCACACGCACATGCCAAACATTTTATACATCCCATGACTTCATAGCAGCCTTCCAGTGTCTGAAGGGGGCCTACAAGAAAGCTGAAGAGGGACTTTTCATCAGGAACTGTACTGATAGGACAAGGAGTAATAGGTTCAAACTGAAAGATGAGAAATTCAGGTTAGATATATGGAAGAAATTCTTTACTTTGAGGGTGGTGAGGCACTGGAACAGGTTGCCCAGAGAAGCTGTGGGTACCCCAACCCAGGCACTGTTCAAGGCCGGGCTGGATATGGCATTGAACACGGTCTAGTGGAGGGTGCCCCTGCCCATGGCAGAGGGGTTGGAACTAGATGATCTTCAAGGTCCCTTCCAACCCAAACCATTGTATGACTCTATGTTGACTTAGCTGTTTGCAAGTTCATGTGGCTAAAGATTATTGGCCTTTTTAGGAATAAAACTTAAACATTATAATGAAAGCTGCTTTTTTAAAATTTTTCAGGAGGAATCTATGAGTGTGGAACTCCCGCTAGGTTACCCCAGCCCAGCAACAGTGGACCAAATAGGAGACACCTTGGTTGATGAATTTACAACTGGAAGTCCTGCTCTAAGTGAAGAAGAGATCAGCATCCCTGAAGAATTTAATAATTTTATTACATCTGAACCTGAGTTCCCTACCAAACCCTCCAGAGAACCATTTCAGGACAGATCTCTACAAAAAGTTACTGACCACCAAAGTTTCACAGTGCCTTTCAGTGCTCTGGGGAGCACTAGCAGTCCTCCAAAATCAGAGGTTTCCTATCTGCCTCCTCCAGCAGATGATTCTGCTAGCAGTGGCTTAATCACCGATGGTTATGAGTCTCCAGTGGAGCAGGCTACCACAATGGCAATTTATACCACGGGTAGCTTTACCCCACCTAGTCTGCAAGCCAGAGATGAGGATAGTGAACATGAGGAGAAGACAGAACTGACTGATATAACAGAACCACCTTTCAAGGAAGCTGACCAAGACATTCCGCCTGAGCAAGGTAAGACTCAAAAGATTTTTATGAGAGAGTGTAGGAGAGATATATGTTATGACATGCAGTCACGTATTGGTACAGCAAGCATTCCTTTCCATTGTGACAGGAAATATTTCTGGACCATCAAAGGTGAAAAATTTACATTTCTGATGCCCACTTCAGAAAAATCCTAATGTAGCTCACTTCAAGGTTGTCAAAGCCAAAAAAAAACAAAACAAAACAAACCCAACCTAACCCAACAACAAATGTCTAAGGATAAGGCACACTTACTACAGAGTATTAGGGTAAAATTTCAAAAAGGCAGGGCAAAAAGATATGTCAGGGAAGAAAAAAAGGATATCCAAGGCTAACATAAAAAAATTGGTATTTAAAACATGGAAAATAAATTACTTTGGGCTCTACAGTCAGTTGTGGATGACAGCAGGAAGAATATAATGAAATAACTTATTCAGATTTATTATTCAGAAAAGTTTACATATCTACATGTCTGATCAATGTGAAAAACTTTTAAAAAATTCTGTTTTCTGTGTTTGTTTATTCAGTTTTATCCTCACGGTAGGGTTTTTTAGAGGCACCCAGCTACATGAGAAAAAAAATACATAATAAATAAAAAAGTCTATACCTGTGGAGAAAAGTCTGTATAATGTAGCCTTTAAAAAGAAAAATACATGATAGATATACTTCCCACAGTTGACCCTGCGGATGAAAAAAACTTCAGACAAAGCTATTAGGGTCATCCTTAGGGCACAGACAAATTATATTTTTCCCTGGAACAGCAGAATGACAGTAAGGCTACTGCTTCCATCACTTCCACTAGCCACTCAGAAAGCCATAGTAGGCACTGTGGAGACCTATGGTGTGCAGGTAACTAAACTGTGTGGGGCAGCAGCCTCCACTGGCAAAGAAGCAAGAGCCACGATTCCTGCAGTTGCCCTCCATCTCTCCCAGCTCTTGTCGGCTCCATCTCCTCTCCTGCTTCCTGAACTGGCCTTATCATCTGAGCATTAGGTCAGTAAATTCAAATTTTACTTGCACTTCAAAGCCTGTGCTAGCTGTCTAAGATGCAAGAGGTCACTATAGACACACGGGAGGAATTAGGTCTTGGATGACTATTCATATGTTCTTTGTCTCAGATTTTTGACTGACCCTCCCAAAAGAAAAGCAGAGGGCAGGTAAGCACTTCATAGGGGTCAGCAGGACTCTCTGATGTCCCTGCATAGCCTCTAAGCAATACTAAAAAAAACCTGCAGAGAAAAATGAACTAAAGACAAATTCAGGGCAAAATTCCCAAATATGCATTAGCTCACACAACACACTTGTGTTTCTGGATCCACAAGAACATCATGCTCAACGCTTGCAAATTTGTTCCCTGCTGCAGGAGAGTTTGTTGTTCCCTTAGGAGGCTCTACTCTGTCCCTGTTCAACGAGCTCTGCGCTTGCCCAGTCCTTGGCCTTTCATGTCCCTCCCTGCACTCGAGATGTCTCTTGAAGTGAGCATAATGAACCCTCCTTCCACTTTGAAGATATTCTTCCTGATCCAGCATGCCCAGATACATGGGCATACCTGTACCCCTGCTGCCCAGCCACATCCTGTAAGGCAAACACTGTTTTCATAGCTGATTGGAAACACCCCACTTGCCTGTTGATAGCATCCTTTACAGTGAGCCCGCGTGGCAGAAATGTGAGAGTGGGGAATGCCCATATACCATACTGTCTATGATATTGTTTGTCTGGATCCAGCAAATAACAAGACTGGCATTTTAAAGAATAAAGGATGTAAAAACTACCACTTGGGAACATACAATGAGAACATACTTGGGAACATACTTGGAAGAACATAACATTCCATGGTCATGTTGTTACATGGTAGTTTATGCACTGAGTAAGAACTTCCCATTCTATAATCTTGCCTTTTTTACACGGAGTTATGAAGTGAGAGGAAAGCAAATACTTTATGATTAGCAGAGTGAGTTAAAGATTAGAAAATCACTTCTTATAAGAATCAGTTGTCAAATGTTCCTGAAAATAAAGTTTATGATAAAAAACATTAACCGCAACTATTTTCAAATTCATGCTGAGAAGTCTTGCAGTGCTACTGATAAAAGCACAGCATACATTCAAATAGCACTCATTATAACCGTGGAAAAGCATTACATTTGCAGGGGAAAGAAAGTCATGCATTTTTCATTCTATTCACTCGTTGTGTTAAGGACTTGATATCATAAACAACACATAAAGCCACATATCTGTTTCCCAATTTGCTAAATAGCTGAAAAACCCTGTCGCTTATCAGCTCCAGATGACTGAAGAGAAGCAGCAGAGGGTATATGACTCACCTGTGATGACCCTTTAAACACTAAGAAATTGTTGTATATATGGGTTAGAACATGTCAATCTGCAAGAGAACAAACTGTCTATAGAGTTGTAAGAAAAAAGATCCTCCCACAATAAGGCATACTATCTTACACAACTTATGTCTAAAACGAGCACTTGAGTATATGAATTCCACCATTATTTCTGCAGCTGAGTAGCAGAGGGAAAATAACTGTCCTTGTCTAAAAAGAATGGATGCTGTATTAGCAATGTCTCAAAACTGTAGTTATTATATTTTTTTTTAAAGCTTATAGTACACAAAACATGCTGCATGCTTAACAGTCAGGAGACCTGTTGAAAACTATTGAGGTTTGAAATGTATACACTTTAGAACTTTTTTTAAGCTCTTCTCAATTCTAGCAGTCCTGTGTTCAGCATCTCCTGTATTTTTTTGTGTCCCTATATATTGCATATTTTATAAGAAATGATAGAATGCGATCTGGAAATTCAGGTTTTATTAAAGTCAGCAATATTGGTGCTATTAATTTTCATATGGCAAGCAGAATTTGCCAGGCACAGAATTTTTCACTCTTTGTTCCTGGCTGCATTTCATAGCTGCATTTCTTAGTAATATTTAAAAAAAAATAATCTTTTAACTATTGAGTAATAGTGTGAAATAGCAAAACTACTCTGACAGTGCTTTATGAGGTTGAACAGAGGTTTAGGGTCTAAACAGTTGCCTGAAATTCTACTGCATTAATTTCCAGCTATTTCCCCACTCTACTGTCCAGTAGATGGAGCAAATTTTTCTTAGTCGCATGTTGAAAACTTTAAATTCACTCTTCTTTGCCTTGAAAAGAAGAGCTGGCTATCAAAAATAACATAGTCTGAGATTCTTTTAGGTATCAGCTCTTTTTCATGGATGGACTTTATTGCATTGGTTATCACATGTGTGCAGCTACAGGCTGAACATTACTACAGAATTCTGAATATTGAATGTCTACAACCTACACAACTACTTTAACTGTGCCTACCCGAGGTAGCAAATCAAAGCAATGAAAAAAATTCTTTCACACCTCCCAAAAAGATAATCAAACTTGGCCTCCCACACACAAATATACACAAAGTTCTGCATACAACAGCTAGAGAAAGGAGAGTAAAAACAGGTGAGGGATGAAGAGTCAAACTAATGAGAGGTGTCCTTTTAAGTCATGCAGGATGGCATTTGTCAGGCTTGGGCTGCCAGTGGGAGGAATGAGCCAGGAGCATGTGTGAGGCTTCCTTCAGACAGTGCTGTGCTCACTCTGCACAGTGATGTTGTCCATGGGCAGTAGAGAGCAGGTCAGTGAGGATTAGACAGACATGCTGGCCAAATGGTCGTGGCAGTCACTCCACCCCTTGGAGTAGGCCAGAACTATAAGGAAGATGCCAAACTGTCTTTAGAGTAAGCCTACTGTTCTGAGATTTCACAATAGAATTGAAAGAAAACCATAACACAAATTTCCAGACCTCTTATTGAAAAGTTCTGAAACACCTGCATCAGATGTTGTGGTTTAAACATTTGACTTTTCAAAGGGTTTTTCTTTGCTCTAGCACCTCTAAAATCTCAGCTATTTCTATTTTTCATTTATAATCAGAGTGAAAAAACCCTTTTTTTCCTACTGTCAGAATTGGTACGTGTTCACTCTTATCTAGCATTCCTCTTTCTTCTTCATATTTTTTCCCCTCTGGAGTTAAAGCTCATTAATATATCTTCTGTATGGTTAACTTCTTCCTTTCTTTGCAGTCTTCCTGTAACTCTGTCTAAACCAGTATGACAATTCAGAAAGGAAGCCCTTTGTGTAATGTATTAGGGGGGCTGTTATTTCAAAACCTAAGCAAATTTCAGCAGTAAAAAAAATGTAAACAAATATATAAACAGATAAAAGAGTTCATAATGTCTGCAAGAACAATAATGATATATTTTGGCTTCCTAAATGGTAAGAAGAAATTTAATTTGTATTTGTTTTAATTGTAGCTGCTAATGAATTGTACAGTCCAGGTAAATGGTTATCCCAAAATCATGACCATCATGGAGGAGGCATTATTTCGGGAGAAGTTATTCCAGAAGTGTAGGACAAAAAAAAGCTAGCAGTAAAATCGTTCAGCTATTCAGTTGTACTGCATCTCAGTCTCTTCAGCCTGGGTCATCCTCAAGCTCTCAAGAAAAACTCTGAGATGAAGACTCTGCAGGGTATACCACAGGGTTTTTTTCTGTGAGAAAAAAGCATTGATGAGGAGTAGATGGTGGTCACGTTTCTGTATGTGTAACTGATAAAAAGCCTAATTAATTGCCTTAGTTACTCTCATGTTCACACAAACTTGTTGTGAGTGGTACCCTTTAATATTTCTTCCTACCCAACAGTTAATTCAGTGGTGCACTCTTCACTCACTATTATTTCCAAGTAATCTTTAGAAAAATTCAGTTTTCTCCATGTTCTCTTTCTGCTTCTGGTTCATCCTCAGCTGCTTAAGCACTGTCTTTGCTTAGCATAACTTTCTATTTGGCATAACCAGCATTGTCACAGAAAAGAAAACCCCATTGCTTCTTGCAAGAACCTCTCCAGAAGTTCCCAGGATTGGAATTCACTCATTCTTTGTGTCAGGAACGCTCATCATTTCTTTCACATCGATGGTTATAGAGGGTAAGAACC